ATTTCTTTCAAAAAGATCTGAAGCTGTCGACCTTGACCTCTCTAAGTAGCTTCAAACATCTGCTAAGTTCCTGGGGAAAAACAATGCAGACATGTTCCTGTTTTTAGTTTTCTACATCGCCTTACAACCTAGCTGTTTTTTGTTTCATTTTTATACCATTCTTTCATTTGTGCTTCTCAATTCATATGCTTTCATTTATGATTGTCTATTGTTGTCGTTGTTGTCCACTGTTGTCATCACTTTTTGTTAAAATAAAGGTCTCTCTTGTAAATGAGTCACCGAGGGCTCAATGGGATTAACCTGTATAAATAAAGGTTGAATGAATGTAAGCTATTATTTCTGACCACCAGAACTCATGGACCAGAACATTGCATCCTGACCCTTTAAGCTGGTCAGGAAGAAGGATGTCCGACTCCAGTCAGAATCGATGTGGCCCATTTTCAGATCTTTATGCTACATTAAACTGTTTGCCTCCTGGGCTTTGTCTACAGAAATAGTTTATTTAAGCCTGAAAATGCACATGCAAAACTCACATTTTGTTCTTGCATGTGGTGCATCTTAAACATTTTAAATTCCTAAAAATAGGTTTGAAAATGACCATTCTTACATCTTGATAAATAAGTCTATTATTTTGGAAACGTTCGGATAGATTTGATTTTATTAGTTTAAAATGTGTAGCTTTAATCTAGTGTGAAATGAAAAGGGCTCTGTTTTGACTAAGAAATCACACAAAAATGAACAGAAATCATGATCAAGGATAATTTATAAAAGAAGTGCTGGCGGCTCTGTTTTGATAAAAACGTTCATGGCTGTTTTCTTGGATGATTTCTCCACAAGTGAGTTTTCCTGTTAAAAGTCAAGGATAACACAATCATTGGTCTAGAAATATCTTCCCAGTCTCCTCATTTTAAGACTTTTATGAAAAACTCTTTATAACTGGGTCATAAATTGTTGGAGGTGAAAAAGACTTGTCGCTTTTTCAACCTTTTAACGTTACTGACAAATCTTCATTCTGCTGTGCAGAAAAAACTATAACCATGTAGGTTTACACGGTTTTTTTTCTTTAAGTCTTCAAAACATAATTTGATCTTCTAACATTTCTTTTTTTTTTTATGCACAAGAATTGGGTTCAAACTGAAAAGTGATAGTAAGAGCAAAGGTAAAACGCTTCCTCAACCTGAGGCTGAAACATATTCAGTTTTTTTAGCTTTATTTTAGTTTATGAAAAGATTCTTGCTAACATATTCTTTGAGATGCATATAAGTGCTTGTGTTTTGAACCACGTTGGCATGACTGTCTCAGAGGAGTTCACGGGGGAGATGGTGGGCCCCAGAGGCCATCTTAACACCAGCAAACTGTTTTATCCACTATGGAGTATGCTGTTTGTGGGAATCAGTTTGTGTGGTGGCTCCTCAGATTGAAGAAGTCCTTTGGATGAAGGACGAAATGTCTCAGCAAAAAAAAGAAAGCATCCAGATGACCTGACTGAACATTGTTGGACCGTTCACCATACCATCTGTCAATGCTGCTTATGGCTTTATGAAGACCAGGAAAAACCACATGTGAACACCATCTTTAAACTCTGTAGTCATCTCTGGATCAAAGCTCAAATCAAATGGACTGGGGCAAAGTGAAAAACTCTTCTGTGGTCAGACAAGTTGAAATAGGACATTCTTTTTTAAATCATAGATGTTACATTAATTTCACTTTAATGTTTAAAAAAAAAGATTTTACATCCACTGTACTAAAAGGAGAAGGACCACCCAGCCCTTTATTAACGCACTGTTCAAAAGTCTGCCTCTCTGACGGTATGAGGGTGCATTAGTGCTTATCTGGAAAAGCACCATCAATGCAGTATATACAGGTTTTAGAACCACATATGCTCCAATCTAGTAAAAATTCTTGTGAAAAATTAAAAATAAAAAGAGCCAGATCTGTTGAACGGTTAGAATTCTACACCAGACAAGAGTGGGAAGATGTTCTTCTCTAAAAACTTGAGAACTGGTCTTCTCACTTCCTAGACACTTACAGATATTTGTTCAAAGAAAAGTGGATGCTTCACTTTGGGAAACATGTAACAGCTATTAACTTCTTGTTAAAAGTTGCAATGTCTTAGTTTCAACATTTGATATAATTACTGTGTCATTGTAAATAAAATATGGCTTTATTAAGTTCCATTCTGGAGGATGCTTAGTTTAGTTTTTGTTTTTTGACATTTTACACAACCTCTACAGTTTCTTGAAACTGGCATTGCATTTTATATCATTTTTTCCTCCATACAAAACTGTTTTGAAAGCATTTTATATAGTTACATTTTTTGATCTAAGTATGTTTTATGGCTCTGAAAGAGCAGTTGCTGCAAAACATTTAATATCCCAAGGCCACTTTTTCTATTTGTTTCCTTAAATGCCTGATGAAGACTATTTTTCTTTTGAATTTGCTCAGTATGTCCCATATTTCAGCTTTGTAAAAAAAGATCTGAGAAAAAAAATCCAGTCATACAAAAACAGAGAAAGGATTTACTCGGCATCAAAACAAAAATCTGTAATAACCAAATAAACATAGTACTGACCTCCCTTTTCCATCTGTGATGCAAGCACACAAAGAAGCAGAAGGACTAAACATTGTCATGAATCAGGAGGAAAAATAAAAAAGAATTAAATGGAATACTAAACTAGTCTTTTAGTCCAGCATTTCTTAGAAATATATAATTTTCTTTCCTCTCTCGAGTCTCTGTACCTGAATGCGCACATTCATGTTCATATCATTTGTCTTGCCACATTTAGTATTTCCCTACTTTATATGTGATCTAGTTGGATCAACTATTTTCATCTCTCCTACTTTCCTTGAATTGTGTACAAATGTCTGCCCTATGTTCCCGTGTCACAAAACTGTTATTTCCCTTCATACAATATATTTTCTTTAGATTGTTCTCCTGTTGCAGGCAGAGAACCATGATTATGCTGTCTTCTGAGTGTCCAGCTGATGGTGCCATAGTGCCATTGCTTTTGTGGCATTTCATACAATTCCACCTGATTATTTCTAAGGAAGACATCTGCTATTCAAGAATAAGGTAAAATACACTTTTTTCAAACTTAACTTTAAACAGTACATGGTTATTGCTTGGTTAGAGCCTTCCTGTTGTGTTCCTTTGTGAAAATACCTAGTTAAAGACTTGCCTGAGTGACGTCCTGTGGGTGTTGCCTCGCCTTTGCTACGAAATGATCACACCTGATGATCTCATCCATTTCATTCTTCCTAATAAGTAAGGAGGAGTCAGCTCTCCCACCAACATTCTCTACAATGCTCACCTTGCTGCTGCTTCCAGGGCATCTGGAATCTGCTCTTTGTAAGAAACACAATAATATTATTGTGCTACTGGAAGCCATCTTAAAATGCACAGTGACTTCCATCCTCTCCTCCTGAATATATTGTAGTCCAGAAGATCTGTCGGTACTTCCTGATGTGTGATGCCTACATCAACATTTGCTTCCTGAGATAAAAACAAAAAAAACTTGTGAATCATGACAGGGAGGTCCAACCAACATACAAATCAGAACTCTGGTGATACAGTAACATTTGATTGTATTGGTTAATCATGACAACCACATCAAATTTTAGCTCAAAATCTGTAAAACTGAATTATAGCCATTTTGGGGTTGCCCGTGATTGCGACGACCATCTTGAATTTGACACCAAACGTTAATAAGTTGTGTATAATAATACATTTTTTAAGGAGTTTATTAAAATACCTCCAAGGCTTCATGAGATTTTGTTAACAAATGGGGTTGACGCAAAAATTAATGCCAAACTTTTACCCATTTATTAAATGGACTATACTTATTTAGCTCCTTTCTATCATATCAAGATACTCAAAGCACTTTACACTACAATCTGTGCCCTCATTTACTCATTCATACAGCACTCTACAAAAAATAATCAGTGCTTTCACATTCAAACACCGATGGGACACACATCGGAGGCAATGAGGTGTTCAGTGTCTTGCCCAGGAACACTGCTGTGACTGCTGGTGGAATCAAACCCCCAACTCTTGTACTGGAGGATGACTTCTCCAACCACTCAGCCACAGCCGCCCCCTCTGAGCATATGCTGGTAATATCTCCAAGCCGCAGCAACCACAGTGACTTTTAGCTCAGTGCCCAGCAAATAAAAGATGTTATAGAGTCCAAAACAGTTAACTCTAACAAACTCTTTGAGCATCTAATTCATGAAAGCCCCACCTGTAATCAAGTTCCCAATGATCCACTGCCAACATCCTGGTAGCAGAAACTGCTGTGGGACCTGTAAGCACCTCTCAGCAGTGAATTAAATTTTATGAATTTTTATTTTAATATTTTTGTGATCGGCAGCAGGTTTGGTCTGCACAGAGAAATTAATGAAATTCAGACAATGCTTCAGTGCAGGGTTCCATAATGTCACCGTGAGCATGTGCTGATAACTCTCTACACTTTGGGTGACACTCCATCAATTAAAAGCCATAGAGGTAAAAAGCTGCAGCATGTAAGTGCACCGAATAAGAGATTGAATAGTCATCAGGACCGAAGGGACAAGGAACAAATAAACATCAGAAAAGAGACGGAGGCAATTACTTGGCTCTTAGATGTCACCTGAGAAGAAAGTGCTGTCAGTAAAAGTAAAAATCTGAAGCACAGCAGGGAACATTCTAAAGGAAAAGAAAAGGTTCCTTTGTGATGTCAGCTTGTCACCTTTAGCTTTGAATTTAAATTTAAGGCATTCAGTAAAAAAAAAATAATAATTCTCTCACATGTGTTCAACCCTACCCTCTCACCTCAGACCACTGCTCTCTGCCAGGGCAATCATGGTAAGTGATTCCACTTGTGTGAAGCAGGGTTTTTGTCTTTTTCCAACTTGGATGCCTCTGTTCAACTTCTCATTAAAATTCAAGATTGATAACAGCTGAGAAAGACCTGCAGGTAGGAAACACATAAAGGTGGCAGTATATTATGCTCAGTGAACTTCCTGGTGTATGTGTGTTTTGGTGGGCAGGGGCAGCTGATGAGTTTATTTGTGGACGTTGGAACAATCTAAATCCACAGACTAGCTCAACACAACTGAGACCTGCTGCAGCCATGGCTGCTGCATTCCTGGTAATAAGGTAAGTTAAAGCCACAGAATATTTACAAAATGCAGACTGGGATCATTCATTTATGGTATTTGCTTTACAGAGTTTTGCTGTTTTTCTGGCTGACCGACGTGACCTGTTCCTCATCTTTGATCGGGGAGACGTTTCAGCTTAAAGAACAAGACGACCTAAGTAATTCTAATATGATCTCTAACACATGTCCAAGCTTTATTTGAACTTTTTTTTTTTTTTTTTTTTTAGTGTTTGAAGAAAATTATCCATTGGAGACTTTTAATTGAGGTTTTGTTTTTATCTTAACGAGATTATTGTGTCTCTCTCTCTCTCTCAGGTAAAAGTTTGGAACGCTATCAGCAACGCAATAAATTTCCTGTCAACTGGCCACCAAGAGTCCATTTCTCAAATTTTCCCATTTCCCCTCAAAGCGGTGGAAAAATCTGCTCCGACATGAAACCGTGTGGAACTGGCAGATATGTAATCCAAAGCAGGATTATCCCGTCTGAGTTTGCTGAGGAAAGGAGAAGGAAAGTCCTCTATGGACCAAAACATGGACCAAAACCCAGTTTTATGTTCTACATATCTGTTCCTATACCACACCAGCTTACAGCTAAAGGCTCTCATGCTCTGTACCATCATGATCTCCATCATCCTCCTCATCCACCAAAACATCCTGGTCCAGGACCTCACCATGTACATCAAGGGACCCATAATCCACATGAACCAAAGCGCCATGGTCCGGGACCTCACCATGTACATCAAGGGACCCA